TAAGGAGGCCCCGGTTTAGAGCCCCCTTTCCGTCCCAGGGGTCCTATGGGCAAAATTCCTCCACGTCCCACCTACAGCATGGCTAATATGCCGGGTGCTGGCATGGGCAACATGATGGGAATGGACAAGCAGTTCCAGATGGGCTATAAGCCCCCACAGAGCATGCCTCAGGGGCAGATTCTCCGTCATCAGCTACAGGTCAGACTGGTGAGTCTGGTTTTACTGATCAAGACCCCAGACCAAAAACACACATGGGCTGCATTTACACTGGCACAAAAAATAAGAGTTTTTGCTCACATCTGACACAGATCGGAATTTGTTGCACATGTGTAAATACAAAAATCCGCTCGAGATATGATTTTTTTTCGCATCCGATCTGAGCCACTTCCAAATGTGGTTTTAAATCAGATACATATCCGATGTCTGGACATCCGACCTGCGTCTAAACACACACATCCGATTCCCCGCAGAACTCCCAATGCGAGGGCGACACGTTTGCCCATAAAGATTGTGTTTTAATGCTGGTGTGCTGTATGCGCTCGCATTTTATTGAGATGGAAACTTTATATAGGTAAGAACTTGTACATTCAGGAGCTGGTTTTCAACCCCTGCCCCGTGAATTTTATAAATACAACCGCTAAAAGCTACATTATATTTCTCAGCAATGAGGTGATAACTTAGTCATTTTTGTAATTAAACCAACAAGCTTCACTTGTTCACAAGCTTCACACTCGCTCGCCCATTTTCTCTCTCTCTCGCGCTCTCTCTCTCTCTCTCTCTCTCTTGTTAATTCATTCGAATTCATTACAATAAATATCATCTTGCCGCTACTTTATTTCACTAAAGAATTCTACCTCTTACGAGCTGTAGATAAAATAGCCTAACAAGTGAAAATTACTGTTATTTTCCGTTATTTATCCGTTCAGTCAGATCAGTCAGACAGGCCCCACACAAATTTAGGACCAATGACTTGACTTGGAGAAGTCTGACATCACGCATCACCATTTCCGGGTCCAAACGCTCGTTCAGATACCAAAAGCAAACAACAAATGGTGTTAAGATACAGTCACGGTGTGATGTACTACTACTACTACTACTGAAGAATCATGATCCTAACCTTTATGTCCATAGTGAAATCTTACTTAGTCAATGATTCATCTTTTCTGAATCATTGAAATATTGGTGTCTGAGACATCTTGAGCCTGTAATGTACACCGTGAGCTTTTAAAAGTTTAGGGGTGTGCTGTAAATTGTGTTTATAAATGACTGTTGAGATGGTATTCTCACTTAAAAAAAGAGTAGAGGCTTGGACTGGGAAACAGGGTTGCCAGGTCTGCAAAACAAAACCAGCTGACATAAAATAAAGTATTATTATGGCTTGACTTGATTGCATGTAAATGGTTGTATATATGGGTATGGAAGCCTGTTTAAGCTACTAAATAAAAAAAAAATTTTAAAAACGGAATTGGGACTTCTCACATAACTTTTTTTTTTTTTCTCAGACTTGTATGATATGAACTCGCAATTGTGAGTTATAAAGTAGGAATTCTGACTTTTTTTTTCTCTCAATAGCGAGTTTACATTGTAATTCTGACTTTTTTCTCACAGTTTTGACGACTTTTCTCAGAATTGTGAGAAACTCACGTTTAATTCTGATGGTGTGAAAAAGACTTATTTTCTCCTAAAATTGCAATTCTGACTTCATTTCTCAGAATCGCATGTTTATGTCTCGCAATTCTAACATTATTTCTCGAAATTGCTTATTTATATATCACAATTCTAACTTTATAACACACAATTGCGACTTTATAGCACACAATTATGAGTTTATATCACACAATTTTGAGAAAAAGTCAGAATTGTAAGACAAAGTCGTGGTTACCTTTTTTTATTTTTATTCAGTGGCAGAAACAAGCTTCCATATATGTGCCACGTCAATTTAAAAAGGAAAAAATGGTCACTCTTAAAGTTTGACGTAGACCATCATGGCGATGTGTTTCCATGGGCAAACACCTTTTATATTTTAGTGATTTGTGAATGTTTAATTCAGAAAGGTTGGATGATCATTTTCAGGAAATGGAAGGCATTCGTGTTTTTTATGCTCTGTTTGCACTTATCTAGAATCATAATCATTTACTTGGACAAGCGCAGATTAGACAAGTGGCACCTAATCAGCAGTATCCATCAATGCAACCGACACAGGCAAGTACAGGCAAATTTGCATTTGTTGATTTGTTCAGCATTTGCTGAAACCCGGTGATGACAACCCATGCTTCTCTCTTCAGAACATTTCCCAGGGCTACACCATCTACGGCTCACACATGGGGATGCAGCCACACCCCTCTCAGCCTGCTGGAATAGTTCCTACCTCGTACGGTAACCAGGGCTTCCAGGGAGGACATCCTGGCACAAACCCAGCCATGGTGGACCCTCTTAGGCAAATGCAGCAGAGACCTAGCGGCTACGTCCATCAGCAGGCTCCTGGAGCATACGCACACACCGTGCCAAACACGCAAAGGTCAGTCACAGACAAAAGTGCTTGGCTTGAAATAATCAGATTGGCTAAATGTAGTGTTAATTTGGTCAACTTTTTTTTAAAAGTTTTTTTTAAGTCTTTGCCTTGTGTAATGTCCTTTTTAATTTTGATTATATATAGTCATTATCCGGTTTTGTTTTGTTTGTTTATTTTTGCTTAGTCAAGTTTTAGTTAACTAAAATCTGCCAGTTTTAGTCAAATTTTAGGCATGCTTCATAATGGTTAACCTGATAATCACAATTATTTTGCTCAAAATTATAATTGTGATTACTGATCATGATTGTTGTCATTTGAGAAATATTAGAATTATTGCACCTATAAACACAAATCAATAGAAAGTCAATTCTTACCCATGATTTATTTTACCTCATCTAGTTTCCTGATTTATTATATTATCATATAAATGAACACTCTATATTATGAAAACTGATAAAAGCTTCTCTAAAGGCTTGTTCACACCGGGAGGAATATCGCGCACGATTATCGCCGATGTTTAACGCCTCGTGACTAAACAAAGGGCGCCAATGTGAGTGTGCACACCGACGCGTAAAAGCGTTGGCGATAAGCGCGTGCGATAATCGTCCCGGTGTGTACGAGGCTTAAGTCAGTGGTTCTCAATTCCAGTCCTCGCGTACCACCGCTCTGCATATTTTGCATGTCTCTCATAGGGTGCGTTCACATTTGTAGTTCGGTTCGTTTGGTCCGGACCAAAAAAGAAAACTATACATTTGGTCCTGGTCCGCTGAGCGTTCACAAAAGCTGTGTTCGACTTAAAGCGGCACTGCACAGACCGATCGGTGCATGACATCAAAGTACCCAGTCACTGATCGGTCTGCTCAGCGCCGCTTTAAGTCGAACACACCTAATGCCGTCTGCTGGACTAAGCGCGCTCATTGCTGCGTGTACTTATGATTTTATTTTCACAACCTGCGAACTCACGAAGACTCATAAAAGCCACTCGTTGCTCCACGTTTGCCCTCTGCTCACACAGTTTGGGATTCACCGCTCATTCTGCGTCGTCAAATCATGTCGCATAGCGTCGCATCTTGTCATTACTTCCTGTTTTTGGTTCATTTAGAAGTATTTGGTCCGTGTTGCGTTCATATTTCATTCGAACCACACCAGAGTTCGTTTGGAAGCGGACCGAGAACCATCTTTTTAGCTGTCTCGGTCCGGATGGCAGCGTTCACACTTACTCAAACGAACCGCACTAACGGAGCAATCGCACGAGTTCGTTTTAATCTAACCAAACATGACAAGTGTGGACACACCCTTATTTAACACACCTGATTCAGATAACCAGCTCGTTAGAAGAGAGCTCCATGCATGAACTGTGTTCCGATTGACATGATCCCTACACAGTGTTCATTGCTCCCTACTCCCTGAGCACGGGAAATTCGTTGAAGTTTACTTCACTTATGAACATTCATTCATGGATTTGCGCTATGCCACGGCCTGCAGCGCATTCACACACAGACGAAACTAGAGAATTGTGACATAATATACCTCTTTAAATAAATACAATTTAAATTCACGTCTCGCACACTTTAATGCCCTTTGAATGGAACGTATACGCTCCCTTCAAACTGGAACCATAGCAGAATATCCTGTGATGTCCACTTCGTAGGGCACTTACAGTCGAATCGAACAAACATCTGAAGTAATAAGAGATACATAAAATGTGCAGAGCGGTGGTACATAAGGACTGGAATTGAGAACCACGGCTCTAAGTTAAACAGTGAAATTCTTAAAGGTGGGGAAAGCGATTTCTGGTAGCCAATGTTGACATTTGAAATCACCAAAACAAACACACCCCTACCCCAAAAGGGTCTCGCCCCTATTTTGATAGCTCCGCCCCACACATACGTACGCAACCCAGGCAACGATTAGTTCTGTGAAACAAAGCAAAACCAATGTTACACCATGTCTACACCGGACGCGAGTGGCTTCTTGCCTTAAGCCTTCTATTGTTTCGCAGACCTTTTTCCTCTCTTGTTTTTTTTATCCGCCATCTATCTTTCTGTCGCTCGGCTCGGCTAATGTCCGTCCTGTGCACTGAACACTCTCTCCTCCACATCATGAGTAGACACGCCCCTAAAGGAAAACTTGAAATCGCATCATATGACCCCTTTAAATTGTAAAGAAATTGCAGATCCATCTGATTGTCAAAATAATTCCAGGTGCAGCTCCCTCACAGGCAATTAGATTTCACATAGCATTTTCATCGGTCAGTGTGATTGGTTGATAACTTTTGACAATGTTTAATCCAGGTGTGAAAATAATTAATTTCTAGTGAAAGAGCACGGAGAGATTTGCGAGTGCACAGTTTGAGCGAGAGGAGAGATTCGCAATTGCAACGGACACATTTTAAGTGTGCACACAATCTCTGGGCAAGAGCAGCGTGTATCTGAGAGCGCGCGTCCGGTTTTGGGCAAGAGCAAAGGAAATCTGTGTGCAAACGGAGAGATTCACGCTCATGCATTATATTAATGTACTTTCGCACTACAACAATGCGCTCTCAACATTTGTCAGTAAAATAATGCCATATTTACAGGGTTTAAAAACATTTTTAACGTGTCTAGACGTGCCTGGGTTTTGCTCAGGTGTGCTGGTGTATCGTTTGGTCTGAAGAGTCTCATGTCTTCTTGAAGTGAGTAATAGTTAGAGGAATGCTAGACATACTCGAGACAGGAGTTATGTGCAACAAACTTCCTTGTGCTGTAAATCAGGTCTTGCCACTTTCGGTTCAGGTCTTTTTTTTTTGAAAACTTGAAATCGCATCATATGACCCCTTTAAATTGTAAAGAAATTGCAGATCCATCTGATTGTCAAAATAATTCCAGGTGCAGCTCCCTCACAGGCAATTAGATTTCACATAGCATTTTCATCGGTCAGTGTGATTGGTTGATAACTTTTGACAATGTTTAATCCAGGTGTGAAAATAATTAATTTCTAGTGAAAGAGCACGGAGAGATTTGCGAGTGCACAGTTTGAGCGAGAGGAGAGATTCGCAATTGCAACGGACACATTTTAAGTGTGCACACAATCTCTGGGCAAGAGCAGCGTGTATCTGAGAGCGCGCGTCCGGTTTTGGGCGAGAGCAAAGGAAATCTGTGTGCAAACGGAGAGATTCACGCTCATGCATTATATTAATGTACTTTCGCACTACAACAATGCGCTCTCAACATTTGTCAGTAAAATAATGCCATATTTACAGGGTTTAAAAACATTTTTAACGTGTCTAGACGTGCCTGGGTTTTGCTCAGGTGTGCTGGTGTATCGTTTGGTCTGAAGAGTCTCATGTCTTCTTGAAGTGAGTAATAGTTAGAGGAATGCTAGACATACTCGAGACAGGAGTTATGTGCAACAAACTTCCTTGTGCTGTAAATCAGGTCTTGCCACTTTCGGTTCAGGTCTTTTTTTTTTTTTTTTTTTTTTGTATTTTTCCTCTGTTTAGGTTTTTTTTTTTTTTTTTTGTCCTTCATTAAAGATGGATTTGTTTTACTCAAGATGCCTTCAAAGGAGCTACCAAAAATGATCTTAACCGATGTCATCACACATGCAGATTGATATCTAATATATAGCATGTATTGCATATAATGAATTTTTAACTCTTTAGTGTTGGTTTTTCAAAATCAATAAATCAAATGAAAAAAATAAAATATAAAAAATCTCCCCTCTATGTGTACCGTTAGATGAAATCCTGCAGTCGCCCATGGTATCATACATGCATTTTCTATACAGCCATACTTGGCAACATTTTAGACTAGGGAACACTATTCACTATTAACTAGTTGCTCATTAACTTAAATATTGGCTTTTTTAGTACTTATAAAGCACATATTAATGCCTTATTCTGCATGAGAATTTTCTAGATCACTTAACCTTACCCTATAGAGACAGAGCGACACGCATCATAATCTGAAAACCACGCCCAATATAACTACTACAACAACTACTATCTTAATTACCTTAATTAATAAGCAGCAAATTAGGAGTTTGAAGACTCTTAGTTAATGAATATGTGTTCCTTAAAGGTGCTATAAGTAAATTTTTGGCTGTGCTAAAGCATAAAAATACCATGTTTGCAGATATTTAGGAAACATGCCAAGTTCACACTTGTTTCTTCCGAAAAACAACACTACAGCCTGTTATTCTACATTGAAATGTGCGTTCAGTGTCAGAATGTCTGTTTTTGTTTTGGTCTGTGTGACTCCGTCCACTGTCAGTTTACCCAATAGTATTTGCACACACTGGGTTGCCAGCTGGGGGAAAACACCGCATATTGCAACCATGGAAGCCAGCAAACGAACTGAGCAGAGATCGCAGATTCTACCCGACTTAAAAAGCCCTCGGCATCCATCTAAAAAAACTCTATGATGAGAGGAATATTAAAAGCGGATAAATCAACTCATCAGCTTACAGTATAAGGCTCGTCACCTTCCATTGTCAGTTACGCTCGTTCCTGTTCTGTCCTCAATCTGGCAACCCGCGTGAGTGTCGAGTCTGAGGAGAAGTGGGCGGGACTGCAGTATCCATTTTAACCACTAGCTGTCTGTACCTTTAATCTAAAGTGTTACCCCATACTTATTTAGTAATGTTATACTGCACAACCTAACTTTGAAGGAGTGTAAAACACATCTGCTCAGCTTTCACCATCTGTCTCAGGTTTTCCCATCAGTCCATGCAGCAGACGCCTATGATGCACGGCCTGGCTCAAGGTCACATGGGAGCGCAGGCCATGCACCCCAACATGAGGACCAATCAGATGATGGACCAGCAGCAGCAGCAGCAACAACAACAGCAAGCCCAACAGCAGCAGCTGATCAGACAGCATCCAGCTCTCAGAGTACGTACACCACACACCCCAATGCATTGTGGGACACTGCGCATTTCACACAACGCCTACATTTCAACAATTCGCCTGTAATGTCGTGGTGTCTGTGTGTTTGTCTTACAGCAGCAGGTGCAGCAACAGCAGGTTCAGCAACAAGTGCAGCAGCAGCAGCAGGTCCAGCAGCAGCAGCAGCAGCAGCAGGTTCAGCCTCAGCAGGTGCAGCAGCAGCAGGTTCAACAGCAGCCGGTGGCGGCAGCACAGCCTCCCGCTCAGGCCCTGGGAATGCAGCCCATGGTAAGACCCCGAACTATCTGCACATCTGCAGCATCTTTCAATTATGTACTTTTAAAATGCATCAAGTACTGAAACACAGGGGTGGAAAATTAGTCAGATAAACATTTATAAAACAGTTCTAGAAGCATCTGTGGCTTTATTGCGTTACTTTTTTGGATATTCAGAACATTTTCTTCTGTATTTTGTCTCAGTTCCCTCGGCAAGGCATGCAGCAAACCCAGCAGCAGCAGCAGACCGCAGCGCTGGTCAGACAGCTCCAGCAGCAGCTCTCAAGTATGCTTGAATCTTTACAATACTCGGTTTCAAACAGCCACGATACACTACTGTATTTTTGCATAATATACATTGCCCTCCAAACATTTTCAAATGCTCATGGACAATATCAACATAAATCCTTATTTCTCATAGGGCTTTATATAATAAATAAACTAAAATACTTTAGAATTGAAAAGTACTTCACCTTGTTTGATTTTTCTTTTTCTTTTATTCTGTAAATTATTTATTTAATAAAAATACACTCAACATTTAGATTAACTGCCCCCAACTAACTAATATTAAATGCAACTTATAGGTGCAATTAAACTTTAAAAGTGTTTCTGAATTATTTTTAAATCTCATGTTATTGTTTTACTGCAATCAGTTTATATTATCTAAATATTTTATATTGAAATATTCTATTCATAATAAATTACATTTACTTTTAATTTTGTAGGATACTATTCATACTAGTTATATTGTTTAAATTTGTTCCCTGGTATCTGCTTATTATACTGCGTTTTTAAGGCGCTTATTTTGCTCTTTTTGTGATAACTGGCAACCAGTGATAGCTTTAGAGGGAAGAGTTCAATAGTGACTAGGGCTGTCAAAATGACTGAAAAACTAAATTCGAATTTTGTACTTAAATTATATTCGAATGCGAGTGCAACGCTGATAGACGTCCCTCTAGAAAATGTGATAAATATGCGTTCTGTGTGAACGGCTTGGTTTCGGTTTTGACGTAAACAACATCTTCTCCACACTGATGCTCTCGTTTTCCACAATATATTGAATGAACAACGTAGCAGCGCCGCATCTAGTGGCTTCAACTGGATAGGCTAACAAAAGCATTCAAATGCAATCGATGACACAAACTTCGTCATCGTATCTCGTGCGCCACTGATAAGGCTGCCTGACGGCTGATGCAGACCTTAAATTCGAATGCAACGTTTTTGCATCTGACACGCGCATTAATCAAAAGTTATGTCTTGAAATCATAAAACTTAAACAATTTAACAGCAACTTATTCTATGCAATATGTTTTATAGTACAATTTGTTTCTTCTTCTGGTAATCAAAGGCATAAAACATTAATTTAATTCTTGTAATCCAATAAAAATGAAACCTGTCTTAAGGATTCTTTTAGTAGTAGTAGTAGTATTACATAAAAAAATACATACTATAGTAATCAATCAATAGTAATATATTTCCGTCACAATTTCTTCAAGTTAAATTGAACTTTTATTTTGACGGGTTGCTGCGAAGACCGTTAAGTTTCTGTGTGTGATATGATTGTAGTTTTTCTGAAATGGTAAAATGCTCATGAAGTGACTCTCAGAGCAGCTCTGAAGATGTTGTTCAGAGGCTGAAAACACAGCGAGCATCACACACGCTTCAGTAAACGAAACCACGTGTCTACGCCATTCATTCACACGGAGACATGCAGGATTCATATTTCAGTAGTCTTTCGTCTTTAATGTTCACAGACTCTAGTCCATATAGTGGTCTGATTGGATTTATTCTTCCAAAATTTGAAAAAATTCCGTGACCTTCAGAGTTGTACTGAAAATTCCATTTTTATGACTGGATTCCGTCCGCGTATTCCACATCGCTAAAATCATAGGGCCCTATATATTTTGAGTAATTAAATTAATATAAATGTACGTTTAGCTGACTAATGGCTTAAATGAACGATTACTACAGTAGTCGACTACAAAAATCTTTAGTCGTGGGCAGCCCTTGTATTTTCTAAATAGTATGTTCTAAATTCATACATCTTGTATTTGTTTTCATTCTCAGTGCTGTTTATCAATGCAAAGTCATCAATATTTTAAAACGTCATTTTCTGTATTTAAATTACGTTTTTGTTTCCCTAGGTACTCAACCTGGACAGAACACCAACTCATATTTCTGAGAGCGTCTGAATGCATTTCACCAGTGGTAAAGAGTAGTTTTAGCGGGTTTTCTGCTACATGAGAGAAGAGGATCCCAAAAGAAGCCCGCAGGGCTGCATCTGAAGTAGAGTCAAACATTGTTTTCAGACATGTATTTCAGAAAGTCATTCTGTGAAACATTGAGGTGAACCATGGAAGAGTATATGTAAAAAGAAGTACAGGAAATTATAAGATTATTGCAACTTTATTTTATTTCAATTTGTACAATTTTTCAGTTTCGTGTATTTCTCATTAAAAAAAAATCATGTCAGTTTTTATGCCTTGTTGTACATTGTATATAGAGTGTGACCTTAAATCATTGTTTGCTTGAATTTCTATTGAACCCCAACACCATCACTATCTTTTATTACTACATTAAATCCTGGTAAGGTTCAAGTATTCATTAAGACTTTCACTCGTCTTGTGTTGTTGCCTTTTTGGGAGTCTTCCCTTTCACCGAGCTCCTCTCCAGACGACTAAACAACACTCCCAAATCAGGACCCAGCGCCCTTCCTTCCAACCCACAGTCTCGTCCTTCATATTTCATCAGGAAGTTGACAGAATCCCAGCTTCTCTCCTCAGGCGTGACTCCCAGCCTCGATAAAATTTTATCGGCAAGCCCTGGCACCACAGGTTGCAGGAGCATCCCATACACCCGGAGGCACTCTAAAGACACGTGAAGGATGGTGTCAAGCCACTGCCGGTCGTCTTTCCGGTCCAGCTTCCACGGGGCGTGTCTTTGGACAAACCCGTTAGTGAGGCGCACACACGCGCTAATGGCTTCCAGCGCTTTATAGACGTGTAGATTCTCAAAGTGCTGCTCTACTAAGACTGGAAGCGCTGATACAGCCTCCACCATTCTGTAATCATCCGAGACGGCTCTTCCACCGAGCTCTTCCTTTGGGAAGCATGTGTTGGAGAAGCGAGGATACACCTGTGTAGGGTTAATCGAGGGCGCGGTGCAGCGGTTTAACAGCCCTCCGAGAGCGTCCGCTAACTCGCTGTTGCACATCTTAATGACTTTATCGTCATAATAGTCGCAGTCCGAATCAGGAACGCCTTGTCTGAGAAGGAAGTATCTCAAGCCGTCCACGGTGAACTTCTCGATGGCGTCCAATGGGTTGATCACGTTTCCGAGACTCTTGGACATCTTCCTTCCCTCCACCGTCCAGTGAGAGTGAACATATATCATCTGAGGAAGAGGCAACCCTGCAGCCATGAGAAACGCGGGCCAGTATATGGCGTGAAACTTGAGGATGTCCTTACCCACGACATGATGCACCGCTGTCCACCATTGAGAGTGATTCTGAGGGTAACCCACCACCGTCAAATAGTTCACCAGAGCGTCCAGCCAAACGTAGATGGTTTGCTCCGGATCTCCCGGGACTGGGATACCCCACCGGAGCCGGCTCTTCTGCCGGGACACTGACAGATCTGGGATGTCGTCCTCCAGCCACTGGAGAACAAAGTCGTGAAACTTCACCGGCTGGATGACCTTCGGGTTCGATCGAAGCCAGCGAAGCAATTCGGTGCGAAAGTCTGATAGACGGAACATGTAATTGTCCTCCTTCATCCACTCCACCTGTCAGAGAGGATAGAGAAATTATCTTACGCCACTTTTGAAGAACTTCAGAAGAGTTTGATTGGGTCTTGCGTGTCAAGACTAGTGCTGCTCGCCTGAATAACTCAAGGGTTATTAGTCTTCTAAAATCTACAGAAGTTTTGTTTCCAAATATTCATTCCACATCAGTCAACCTTTACTATCTTTCAGATGCCACGGACCCCCAAATATAATCATCCTCATGCGAGGCAGCTAGCTATAAAGTTTCATGTTAGTTGTACTTAAAATAAAAAAATTGTAATTGGTATACATACGTATATATCTATATAGTATACCAATGTAAAAAAAATTATTTGGAAAAAAAAGTAGTTTCTATTAAGTTACATAGTTTTTTTTTAGTTTTTTTTACTCACTTTAGGACTGTACTGTTAGATGTTAGTATATTAATTTAATTAATAAATTAAATAATTTATTTTTAATCAAATTTTT